AGTGGAAGGAGGGAGGGAAGGAAGGAAGGAGAGAGTGAAAGTGGGAAGGAAGGAGGATGGAAGGAGGGATGGAGGAAGGAATGGAAAGAGGGGAGGAAGAAGGGAGGAAGGAGAGATGGAGGGAGGGAGGGGAGGAGGAGAGAAGGAGGAAAGGGAGAGATGGAATGGGGGAAGGAAAGAGGGTGGAAGGAGGAAGGAAAAGGGAAGGAGAGATGAGAAGAGGAAGGAAGGAGGATAGAAGGAGGGAGAGAAGGAAGGAGGGATGGACAAAGGGATGGAAAGAGGGGAGGAAGAAGGGAGGAAGGAGAGGTGGAAGGAGGGAGGGAAGGGGGAAAGAAAGAGGGGTGGAAAGAAGAGGGAGAGAGGGAGGGAAGGAGGATGGAGGGAAGGAATTTAAAGAGGGGAGGAAGGGGAGATGGAATGAGATGGAAGGAGGAAAGAGGGAGAGGTGGAAGGAGGGATGGAAAGAGGGTGGAAGGAGGAAGGAAGGAAGAAGGAAGGAGAGATGGAAGAGAGGGAAGGGGGAAAGAAAGAGGGGTGGAAAGAAGAGGGAAAGAGGGAGGGAAGGAGGATGGAAGGAGGGATGGAGGGAAGGAAGGAAGGAGGAAGAAAGAGGGAAGGAGAGATGGGATGAGGGAGGCAGGAAGATAAAAGAAGGCTGGGAGGAGAAAAGGATGAAGAAAGGAGGGTCGGGAGGGGGGGAGGAAGGAGGAGGGAGGTGGGATGGCTGGGGACAGGATGGGGGGGGGGGATGTGGGGCCAGGTGGGAGGGGCTGGGCGGGGCCACTGTCCCCACTGACCCTCCCCCCCGTCCCCTCAGGGCCATGGAGCTGCTGCCCAGCGCGTTGCTTCTCCTGCTGCTGACAGGTACGTGGGGCCCCGTGTCCCCCCCATGTCCCGCCATGTCCCCCTCGTGTCCCTCCGTGTCCCCCCTGTGTCTCCCCATGTCCCCCTGGGTCCCCTCCACCCTTCTCCCACTCCATGTCCAGGTCCCCATGGAGGGAATGTGGGGAGGGGACAGCTCTGGTGGCCCATGTCCCCACAGAGGGGACAGCTCTGGTGGCCCATGTCCCTGTGGAAGGGACAGATCTGGTGGCCCATGTCCCCACGGAGGGGACAGCTCTGGTGGCTCACGACCCTGTGGAAGGGACAGCTCTGGTGGCCCATGTCCCCACGGAGGGGACAGCTCTGGTGGCCCATGTCCCCGTGGAAGGGACAGATCTGGTGGCCCATGTCCCCACGGAGGGGACAGCTCTGGTGGCTCACGTCCCTGTGGAAGGGACAGCTCTGGTGGCCCATGTCCCCACAGAGGGGACAGCTCTGGTGGCCCATGTCCCCGTGGAAGGGACAGATCTGGTGGCCCATGTCCCCACGGAGGGGACCGCTCTGGTGGCCCATGTCCCCACGGAGGGGACAGTTCTGGTGGCCCATGTGTCCACAGAG